GACATCAACTGTATGACCTACAAATCACAAATGGCACTAACTATTCAGAGATAAGGACAGGTGCAAGTCCCACATTGTGACCAGTGCTTCTGGTCACTGGGCTACAAATCAAGAAGCCCCACTGTGTGGTCTCCATCTTGTTCAGTGATTTTAGAATGGCTTTCAGAGCTCAGGAAAGCACTATTTGTGCTTAATACTACCAGTAAATTAGAAAGGATATTGGTGAGAAATAGCCAGATGGAAGAAATGCATAGGGCAAGGCACAGAGATGGGTGTGCGGCACTTCCATGCCATCTGTGGGCACATCAATCTCCCAGCTCCTCAACGTCTTCACCAACATGGAAGCTGCCTGAGCTGAGCCCTGCATGTCACTGTTTCAGGTTTTTATGGAGGCTTCATTGCATAAGAATGATTGATTAAATTGTTGGATAGTGGTGATTAAATCTGTCTCTAGTTCTTTTCTGCTGGTTATCCAGAGAGCTTGAAAACTCCAATCCTCTGCTTCTAAAGTACTGGTTTATAGTTGGAAGAATGACCACAGTTACCCAAGGTTATCCATATCTGTACTCCATAACATTACTCCCTAGAATTGTGAGCATGCATCCCAGAAGCTCAGCTTGTCACCTTCTCATATACTAGGTTCCTGGCTGTCTAGGACACTTGCAAAGCCAAATTGACTGATTCTGTAATTCCCTGAAGATTGAATAATGGATAGAGACAGGGACCTGTAAGCCTTAGATTGCAGATGCCAATAGGTAACTAAAATCAAGACAAAACTTGATGTCTCTTGTTTTCAATTTATACTCCTTTATTTCCTTGAAACTTTGGTTTTAAGCAGATTTCTGCTCAGCTCTGCACAAAGGCACCTTAATCTCTTAAGCAGAGTCTGTAATGCAAAGTTTACGTGCCCTATGTTTACCCAGTCCATCTCAACTGCCTTCAAGACTGAGGCCAATAAGATAAGAGTAACTAAAGTAATTTTCAGGATTTGCAGGGACTGCAAATTGCCAGGTTTTATTATGGTTCAGTTCCAGACTTCCCTTGTGCAATGCCTAGAAGTCTCCAGTCATGGTCCCTAAACTTGCAATCACCTTGGATTCCAGGAAAAGCAGAGTGGCATAGACCACCTCCCCTAAATGGGAGCAACTACCCCATGAAACCAAGGCTGTCTATTCCCAGAAAGCCACAGTCATCTCATGGGACTCCAACTGCCCTTCAAATTGTAGAATTCCTCTAGAGCTCATGAAACCAGAACTGAGGAGATGATCATCAGAACCTTTCCCATATCAGCTAATCTCTTTTTTTTAAATTTTATTTAAGGAGAAAAGAAAAAAAAAGCAGGGAAAGGGTACAAGTTATACAGATTTACAGAAAAAAAAATGAACAGTAGGAAATCACTAGTTAATGGATTACATCTTGTCATCTTAGAAATAATTGTTCAAGTCACAAAATTAAAGCTTGTAAAGTGGACATTCCATCAATGATACTGCAAACAGTTCTGTTCATTGATCCAATAAAACTCTGTGATATCATTTTCTATCTTATACACTTAAATATACATGCAGTTATATAGTTTGGAGCACTTTCTTTTCCTCTCTTTTGTACCATGACTATTACACATTTTGGGTTTTATTGCTCCCACGGTTCTTATTACTTTTTTGGAAGAGAGTAAAACCAAATGTGACATAACAGAACAGAATCGGTCAAGTCAAAAGGGTGGACATAATAGATAATGTAAAAACATAATACAAGGTGATCAACAATGGTTACCATAATGCCTCCCGCTATCTCTAATAGAATTGCCTATATCGTTAGTTATAATACAATTGAACAAAACAGTAAAGAATAAAACTGACAAAACCAAAACATTGGAGACATTGTAGGTCTTCAAAAGTAGATAAAAGTCAACAAGAATGGGCGTCATAATGAATCTCATTATCTTTACAGCTGATGCCTAAACTTTCGAACCTGATACTATCCAACAAAACAGAATAGGGGAACATCAGTTAAAACCCAGATGGTGAGAGTAATACAGGGCTTTAAATCAAGGTAATGAAAAGTCAAAGTGGGTTACTATAATATATCCTGCTATTTTTTTCCTTTAATTAAAAGGATAAAGATAAAAAAGTAAATAATGGAGTGGAGATTGAGATAAAAGAGGGCATAACAACGAAACAGCGCAGATCAAAACATATCCATTTAAGCAGAATAGTGTTTCACCACCAGATAATCCTAACCTAAAAGTAGTTACCATATTGTTTCTTTCTTTGAAATCCTTGAGTACAACTTCATATACTGTAGCATTAAGTATATCAAAACAATGTAAAACCATTCAAGAGAATGACAGTATTACAGAGTATTTAGAATCGACTAACAGAAAATGAACAATGGTTTCTGTATAATCTCCTTGTCTTTAAAAGGTTTTTGCTTATACTATCGTACATAATAAAATCCAATAAGATACAGCCTATTTAGACCATTGGAGACAGAAGGACAAAAGCTAGATGAGACTTCAAAACAAGATGATATTAAATCAGTATTACCTATTAAGATGTCATTTTCTCCAAAATAGCTGTTCCTATCATCCAATCTTCTCTGCCTCATTTCTGTTGAGCTCTTTTTCTGTCAGTAGCTGTCAGTTTGTCTTCTTCATTTTGTTCTCTGCTCCATTCGTTGTGGCCTCTCTGCTATTATTTCTGGATTCTTTGTATTTTTCTTTTTTTAGAATATCCTGCAATACTCTCTTTAGAGTTGAATTGGTGGTTGCAAATTCCCCAAGTTCCTCTTTATCCTGGAAGCACCTTGTTTTTCCATCAATTTCCAGGGACAGTTGTGCAGGATATCTCAATTTTGGCTGGAGATTATTATCTTTCAAAGCTTGAATTATTTCCCCCCACGCTCTTCGTGATTTGATGGTTTGTGCAGAGAAATCTGCTGTAATTCTGATGGGTATTCCCTTGTAAGTGGTCTGTTTCTTGTCTCTTACAGCTTTTAATATTCTGTTCTTGTATTGAATTTCTGGAATTTTTATTATTATATGCCTGGGTGTTGCTCTGTTTGGGTTGTAGGTAGCTGGGGTCCTGTATGCCTCATACATCTGAGTATCTTTACCTTTTGCTAAATTAGGAAAATTCTCCTGGATTATTTCTGTGAGTAGCTTTTGTAGTTCACTTGTTTGTGTCCCTACTTCTTCTTTTATGTTCTTAATCCTTAAGTTATGGATCCTCTTATCATCTTCTTATCTTTGTATTATTGCTGTTTGTTTCTTTGTTATTTTTAAGAAGTTTTTCATTTCATTCTCCCATATTACAAGTCTGCCCTCCAGTTCAGATAGTCTGTCCTTAGTTTCTTTCAAGCTGTTATGCCAGTCTTCTATAGACTTCTTAGTATCTTGGTAGTGCCTTTGAACCTGCTTCACGTATTCTATGCTTTCTCTGTTTTCTCCATCAAACAATTCTCCCCTTTTTTTCTGTACTTCCATTCCACCACCTGTTTTTTCTTGGGTGGTACTTAGCATTTCTCTAACTATTCTGCCTACTTCTAGCTTCAGGTCGTTGATAACTTCATTCCTGAATTGGTCTATGAGGCTCTCTATATGGTGCCTTATGTATATTGGTGCGGTGTCTGCTATTGCCTGTTTCTCAGAATTGGGGGCCGAGGAGCCTTTCTTGTTGCTGCCTTTTCCCATGCTGCCTCTTCTTCTCTGTTCCTTATATATGCAAGCTTATATAAGAGGCCCAGCTTCTCTCCCAGTCAGCCACAGCCTGATCGAATTGTGCCAGTTAGGTGTTCCCGCTCACCGCTGCACACCAGGGAGTTACGGACCAGGCAGCCTACGCGTCTCCCCTCCCGGCCACTGTCAGGCTTTGGGATCTGGGTTGGGACAGCCTACCAGGTCCGCCGGCAGCGTCACGCAGGCCAGGCACTTTTCACCAATCCCGCCCGAGAGGGGGATGTGTGGCTGGAGTTGCCACAGCGCCGTGCTCCGGCAGGACTGCTCGGGCCCAGAAAGTCCACTGCTGGAGTCAAACTGTGGTAGAGTGTCAGTTTCTCTCACCTACCTCACCACAAGTCAGTGCACGCCTCCCTGCCGTTTGCAGATTGCCGTTCTCAGAGTTTCTGCGTGTCTCTCTCCTTGCCGAGCCACTGTAGAGGCAGCCAGCCGCCGCACGGCGGGAAACCCAAATCGCGGCTTACAATGGCGCGGGGTCCAGCCTCCACACCAAGGCTTTTCTGTATCTGTTTTAGCACCAGGACTGCATTCCAAGTTGGTTTCTCTCAGCCCAGTTCGTTCCTGAGTCAGCAGAGCATATCTCCACCTGCTTATGTCTCCTTAGTCCGCACCATTCCTGGCTTCTGAGCCGAGTCTTTCAGAGAGCCTCCGGTAGTTTCTGTTATCTGTCAGCCATGTTCTCCCGGCACACTCACACTCTTGTATAAGGCACTAAGCAGCCCATGTGTGTTTTCCTGTGCTGAGTCTGGAAGGGCACTTACATGCCTCAATCTTTGGAAACTTTCAAAGTGTACTCTATGTGTATGTGGCCAGAACACTCCCAGGTTGAATTTCCCAGTCTCTTTTCCACCAGACCCTATATAAGAACTCAAAACCTATGGAAACGGTCTTTGGGGAACAGCTGGAGATTTTGTTTCCTATGCAGGCTCAGTAGTAGTGGCAGCTGAGAGGACCATCTGATTTATAGAATTAAAGGGAGTCCTTTGTCAAGCTGACATTTTATAGTATTGATGTTGTTAAATTTCTGACAGGTACGTTGAATATTAAAATGGTCCCTCAAGTGTAAGCTAATTATACAGCCTACACCTGTCACCCCAGGATTCTTCAGTGTCCTGCCAGGGTTCCCCTCATGCTTTGGTAACAAGGGGAAGCTTTCCCTTGGTGTTTGAAACAAGTGAAGACGTGCCGGCTTCATGGCACAGATGTAGGCATTTCAGGCATGATTTTTGACTCATCTGACTGTGCGTGTCGATGACAATTGGCACAGAACCCCCTTCTCCAATGGTATCTCTCTGCAGTCACTGACTGACCTGTCCCCATCTTCCCAACAGCTTCCTTACCACACCTCCATTCCAGGTGGGCTGTTCCCAGGCAGAATCATCACTGTGTCAGGCATTGTCCCATCCAATGCTAAGAGGTAAGACAGGACCTCCAGGGATCTCAGGGAGGACAGAGCCATGCCTGGTTCCAGAGAGGAGGGGAACAAGCGGGAGGAGGTGGACCGGACCACAGGAGACATGGAGGGTCTGTGTGATGTGCCCACTCCAGCTTCATCATCAACCTGTACACCGGGAAGGACATCGCCTTCCACCTGAGAACTCTTTTTGATGAAGACACTGTGATCCTAAACACTCAGATCCGTGGCATCTGGGGTGAAGAGGAGCGAAGCCTGCCCTGCAATATGCCCTTCAAACGAGGACGCAGCTTTGCGGTAAGGGGCTGCAGCCTACAGCTTGGCCAGCTGGCTGGGTGCAAGAATAGAAGGAGTGAAGACAGCTGGGGGTACCTTAAATGGGGTGGAGGCTGATGCCAGAGATAGGAGGGCTGAGCCCTAAGGGAGACAGAATGTGCCACAAATTAGTAATGATCTGTGATTGCTGTCCCCCATAAGGTACAAGTCTTAGCATATAACTATTCTAGATGAGCAAACAAAATCACAAGCAAGGTTACTTTCCAGGGATCACACAGCCATTTAACACCAAAGAATGAGGTGGTGGTCATCTGTATGCATATTTATGCAGTAGTTATTTATCAACTCTTTGATTGGATCTGTGGGATTCAGGAAGTGCCCCATGTGTAGAATACAGCCCAGAAGCAAGGACCGGGTCTCCCCTATGGGGCTATAATCTCAGTGGGGAGGAGCCAGATGATCAAGGCATGAGCTGGAGATCACAGATAAAGACAGGTGCTGAGCAGAAGGCAACTAGGCAGAGGGGTGTAGGGACCCTCAATTCAGGGAGGATGTGCAGAGGTGGGAGGCTTCTGTCCAGAGCTATACTCCAAGGTGCAGAATTAGGGCAAGAGGTGTGGGGTGTGGGTGTAGCCTAATCACCAGAGCAGAAATTCCCACCCTGACCCCACATTCAGATTCCCCATAAGGCTTACAGAAGAAAGATGAAACTGTGTGCTGTGACACAGCCTGCAATCCCAGAGCTCCCAGAGGCTGAGGCAGGAGCATGAGACATTGCAATCCAGCCTGGGCACTCACAACTTAGTGAAATGCTTTCCCAAAGTGAAATATTTAAAAACTGGATGGGAACTGGAATTATAACTTAGCGCCATGGTCCTGGGTTCAATCTAAAGAACAGAGGTAAAAAAGCAAAACTGAAAACCAATGCAAATGCAAAAGCAAAAGAGAAAGAGAAAGCTAGAAGAGAGAAGTAAAAGGGAAAGAAAGGAAGACAGAGGAACATCAAAAGTGAAGCCTAGGTCCCTGAGCCATGGAGCTGTCAACTGGACACCCCTTAGCCACAGTGAGCTCTAAGTGTCTGTGCTCTGTGGCTACAGTTAGAAATGGCTGGTGTGGGGTTTCCTAGGCCTTGAAAGGAACGTGGTTTACTACACTGAGAAGCCACTGAGGAGGGAGCTCATAGAGCAGCGCCTCTGATTTTTAGGAGGCTGCGTAACCTTGGGGAATCAACTTAACTACTCCACGTGTCCAGTGCCTCAATTGCCAATGGGCTGAGAATCCCATGATGCAGGACAGTTGTGGGAATGGTAAAGGTCATCTCTGCACATGCTAGTAGAGTAACCTGCATGCAAGTGTGGTTTAAGTCTGACCACTGCTGTTTGCACCCTGACTCCCTGCTGGAGACAGTCTTGGTCTACAAAGAATGAGTCAGGAGGCTGCTGCTGCTGCTGTGGAATCCAGGCATGGACATGGGTGACACCAGCCCTGCAGCCTGAGGTGGTGCCCAGTGGCAGTTGGTCCCTGGGAGGGCTGTGGTGGGGACAGGGAATGCTTGCCATGGAGGTTGGGTCTGAGGGGCATGGCAGTTACACACAGGGCAGAGATACAGGCTGGGAGCAGCACTGCAGGCTGGAACCACATGGACTGAGGTATAGGGGAGGAGAGCACAGGGTGTTTAGGGAGCAGCAGGTCCTGCAGTAAGGGCGAGGGCCTGGTGGACAGAGTAAGGATGTGGGGGAGGACGAAACCTGAGCCCCAAGTGAGGGCTGAGGACTCTCTACATGGACTGTGAATGGCAAGGCCTCTCTTCCCAGATGGAGATCATATGCAAAGCTGACTGCTACGTGCTGACCATCAACGGCCGACGCCTGCTACAATACTGCCATCGCCTGATGGACCTCAAGTCCATCGATCACCTGGAAATCACTGAGGATCTCGAGCTCACTGCAGTGCGAGTCTAGGTGGGCTCACTGATCTGGGGCACCAGCCTGTGTCTCTCCCCCTGCCCTCTTCTTCCACGCCCTGCAGCAGCTTGCAGAGCCCTGACTCTAAGCAGAGATTTCCACTCACTATAACAGCAGGAAAAGCTCCAGCTGTAATCTTGCTGGCAGTGTGATGGTCCTGAGCAAGCTAGGACCTCAGCAAAGGCCCACATGGCATGCAGTTCTCAATCACCCTCCTACCTTCTCTGTGACCTGTTGGGTCCCAAGTCACAGATGTGCACAGCACTGACAAGGAGATCTGCACATCCTTCCCATTCCTGTGACCCTAACCTTTCTCCTCGGCTTTGCACCCTGCTGGGACACAATCCCCTTGAAAAGGCTGTTCTGGTCATGTAATGCTTGCTTCCTGTATCATTCCCACTGAGGGCTCCCCTTTCCTGGCATCTTTGAAATAAAGAAAACTTTGTGGTGTTGGCATACACAACTGACTGTTTTGTTAGTGTTTCTGGAGACATTTTGAATTTTCTGGGATTGAGCTTCCTTACCAGCTGAATGGGAAAACACAGCACACATTTTCTTTGGGCAGAGAGGTTCCTTACCTACTCCTAGATGGTCCCTGAGGAAGCCCACAAGCGTGCTGAAGAATACAGTTTGGGCTAGAGCCTTGGGCGTGAGTGTCTCTGACACAGGCATCTTAGTATTCCAGTGAACCCAAGAAGCATCCCCATCTCACTGAGAGCGGAAAAGTCCAGGTGAATGTGTGGGATCATTGCAGAGACCAGAAACCAGATTATCTTGTGCCAGCTGGAAGGGGAGGAGACAGGATACTTGTCATGACGGTTTTCCTGCTGAACACATGTCTGTCAGGAACAATTATCTGAAACCCAGCAGACTGGGTATGGGAGTCCCGCTATGCACCCAGGTGAATCCATCAAGAACTTGCTCCTTTATGGTGTGTGACTCAGGCAAGAGCATCACCAGGAAACTGCTTAGCAATCTCAGGCGCTCCTGCAGACCTACTACACAGGAATGTGCATTTTAACCACATCTAAGTGGACTGGTGTGTTTCCGGGACCATGTGTGCAGCCCCAGTCTAGATGGCTGGATCCTTGGCCAAGCTGCCAAGCCGGTTGGTTCCTGTTCAGTGCACAGAGCTTATCTGGGTGACCAGAGGTTTAGCAACCCCCCTCCTGCCCTCACATGTGTGTTGCTGCTGCCAGAAGAGGAAATAGAACCAGCGGGGAAAAGCATAGAGGAAACCATGAAGTTTGAACAGCAGGACACTTACCTCCAGTTGAGTCCCTTCCATGGATCTGAGCAGAGATAGCACTCTGTCTTCTCCAAATATTCCTGGTTGACTGCACCATGAGAAGGAGCCTGGCCTCCCAGGCAGGCAGGGATGTGGGGGTCTTCCCCCTCCTCCACCACACCCTACTCCCCATTCTTCTCCTATAGGAAACCATGCTTGATTTTTCAAGATGCTATACCACTGGCCAAACTTAACCAAATAGTCGGCTGCAAGGCAAAAAACAAAATAACAAAAAAATCCACTGCAAAATGTGGCCTGGAGGACAAGGCCTTCGTGAACATCTGGCATGGGGGCCAGGACCCCCTCACCTCAATTAGTGTACACTGCGTCCTGTGCAAAGCACAACTCCCGCTCTCAAAAAAAATCCTTCCCTCCACCACCCTCTCGAGGTGTGCTCACAATTCCATGGGCTTCCATTTCATAGAGGAAGGCATGGTCTGGCTGGTGGTACCTTGACCACTGTAAGCCTTCTTGCTGCTATCTCTACAATACAGTGACACTCATAGCACACAGAGCACACATACACTCACACACACACCACACACAGCACATATACACTCACACACAAACACACACACACACAGAATACAGATAAAATGAAATGCTTCTCATATAAAGTTTTTCAGCAAGGAAACATACAGAGAAGACTCAAGTGGCTCTTGGGAGCAGACAGTGGTGCATTAATGCAGAAGCATAAAATATTACCCAGGGCCTAGGACTATGCAGAGGCACAATGTCCCCTCCAGGTGGACACTCAAACTGCTTCAAGCAGAGGAAGCTTCCTTCTTCCTCTCAGGCCTAGCATGGAAGATCCATTTCCAAGGGGCCAGAAAGAGTGGGCTTCAGGGGCAGAGGTGGCTCTGTCCAGTCCCAGATACTACTTGGTGTTAACTGAAGTGAAATTTAGATAACAAAATGTATCATTTTGATAAGTTTCTGTGTAGAGCTGAGGTGGCCTTCAGTATCACTACATCGAGCTCCAGACAGTTTTCATCATCCGCAAACATGTTTCAGGACTCACCAAGCACAGGCCCTTGCCTCTCTTCCCTGGCAACTACCAATTTTAACTTTGTGAATTAATAGCATCTTAGGAGTTACTGATTATGATACCGTCATTCTGTATATTTTTATGCTCATCTTCTAAAGAAAAGTAATAACATTGATTCCCACAGAATGATATCACACCATTGATTTCCACAGAATCAAATATCACTCATTTACACCAAGAATCTAGATCTGACACCTCTCATGATCCTTCCCAAGTGCTGTTAAAACTGTGCAGCCATAGGATCCAACCCACCCACCAAAAAGGGAAACATTCGAGTCCTGCTCCATTGTTAAGCTTCCAGCTCCACAGGTCCGGTGTATGCATCACATTTTCAATTTTATAATGTTTATAGATTATGATGGGTTCCTCAGGTAGTAAGCCTCAGAGAGTTCATGGTCTACCCCTGCAGGTTGATTCTCACAGGGGGCAGCCAGGTCCCGTTGTTCTCTGAGGCTGTATGGAGCAGGAGGGCACTGGCTAGAGTGCCTCCATGACAGCACAGACCTGAGATTTCCTTCCTCCTCTAGAAAGAAAGTCCACAGCCCCAGCGAGCAACTGCTCCCATTTTCTCTAAGGACCAGCAGGTCCATGTCAATGTCACTGAGCACATGTTCTGCACCAGGCCTCGCTCTAGGTGTTATTCATCCTCTTGCAACTTTGCTAGGGTGCTGTTACTGGAGTTTTAGCATTGAGTGGACAAACAGGGGCAGTAAAATTGATGTCCTTTGCTCAGGAAGACACAGACAGCAGCACTGTCTTTAATATGGGCTCTCATGAGTCCAGTTAAAGCTCAGGGCCTCAGGCTGGGACTGCGGCCTAGTGGCACAGAACTGGCCTAGCATGTGCTAGGCCTTGTGTTCAATCCCAGCACCACAAATAAAAAAAGAAGCAAAGAGCCAGGGCTTTAAGGACTGTGGGCAAAGGAGAAATGGACACCAAAGGCTGAAGAGATGCAACCCTCAGACCTTTTTCTGGGTGTACAGAAGGATTTGCAGGCAGTGCATATGGAAAGAGAGTCCATAAGCACTGGACACACAGTTAATGTACAATGCCCGAAGCCCTCTGTCTCCGGGGATCTGACAATGCCCTTCCACAACAGCACATCTGTTCCCCAGAAGGGTAGCACCGCACGGTCTCTGTGAGCACTTGTCTTCCTTCTCTGCACAGTCGGGTATCAGCAACACAGCAGCAGCTAGGGGAACATACACACAGTCTCACACCGACATGGGGTATTCCATAGAAATGAACAAAGCACTTGGATACCTAAGGTGTGAGGAAACAAGATATTTTATGTCACTGCGATATACTTTACTCTGGTAGTTTTTATTTTCCCCACAGTACAGAGAAGTAATCAAAGGGGCTTTCCAATGAGCTATACCCCCAGCTGTTTTTGAAATTTTCTAAAATTTTGACACCGGTTTTCACTAGGTTGCCCAGATGAGGCTACAACTAGCCTGTGTTGGCCTCCCAGAGTTCTGGGATTGCAGGGAGGACCACGGAGTTCACCTGCTTTAGGCCTCTAATTTATAATGTTTTTGTCATTACCAATCTATAAAGTGTTCTTTTAACTCACTGGATAGAACTCCATTGTGCTCCCCTTGATCCTATGCCTTCCGATACAAGTTTTCAAGTCTGATTGTTAATTTCCCAGCCTTGAAAACTGTGAGAAACAAATTCCTGTTGTTTATAAGCTATTTGTTCAAGGTATTTTCCTGCAGCAGCAGAAAAGCATTCAGACAGTGACATCATTTGCAAGCACACCCTCCTCTTGCAAACATTTACTTGCACATCTATTTGTGATGAGTGAACACCAAAGGAATCCAGAGTCAGAGAGCCTGGCAAGCGCTCCTCTCATAGAATCCCTTTGAAAACATCCGTTGAATTGTCTGAGCTCCCTCATGTTGTACTTTATCAGGCAAGAGAAGGTGTTCAAGCACTAGCACTGAACCTGGCTTTTCTTTCATCAAGATGCGTGACGTGCAGTGTGCCTGGTATTAACTTAGGCATTACTTTTTGAGGCAAATTTCTGAATGTTCTAGGTTAAAATGTTACATAGTTACTGCTCAAGAAATGCTGTGCATATAAAACTGCAGATACATCATTATAAAAATATCACATTGCTAATATTATCACTGCTCTGGTTTTTATTACACAAAGCATATCATTCACAAATTTCAGTGCTTTCTTTTTATTAAATACTGCACAGAAAGACACAAAGGTGAGGCAAAGCCATCCTAGTCAACAACAGCAAGGCCAGAGTCATCACAAGGCACAGGAATAAAAACAGCATGGTCCTGTTTCAAAAACTGACACAGCTATCAGTGGAAAACACCAAAAGGTGCAGACACATCCAGCCCAAGCACCTTCACTCACCAGGTCACTGAGAAAGGTATCAATGATACAGGCTGGAAAAAGCAAGCTCCTTTAACAAATGGAGTGGGGAAAACTTGTCCCCATGCAGAAAACTGACTCGATCCACTTCCCTTCCTTCACTAAAATCAAATCAAAATGGACCAAATTCCTACCTATAATGTATGAACACTGAAAAAGGAAATCTCTGGAAACAAAAATTTGGTACATCACATAAAGAATAAACAGGCTCAGGCAAAGTCTTCCTGAATAGACCCAGCTTCACAGGAAACAATATGATCAATCAGTCAATGGGATGACATCAGATTAAAAGGTTTCTGCATAGCAAGAGAAGCAGCAGATTAAAGAAACAAACTAAAAATGGGAGATGTTTACTAGAGGCCTCTCAGACAGAGGATGAATATCTAGAATATATAACAAACTAAAAATATTCAGGCAGCCAAAATTAAAAGACCCAATTTCAAATAGGCAGATGTAATGAATAAAAATACATGTAACAAAAAAAATACATGAACAAACGTTCAGTATCTTTGGGCATTAGAGAAATCTAACACAGTACTACATTGAGCTCTCCTTAGTGCAGCAAGTATATCCACCATCAAGAATTCAAAAGACCACAAACACTGGTGAAGAAGGGATGAGGAAAGGAATCCTAATACACTGCAGATAGAAATGCACAACCACTTGGGAAGTCAGTATGGAGATTTCTCAGAGAGCTAGAAAGAGAAATCCCACTTCACCCTGC